TGAGTTTCTGACACAGCTCTTCTCATTGGCTCCTGAAGCTCTATCTCTCAGCCAGACTGTCGAATGAGCAGAAACATCACAAAGGCTGTGAGTCAGCTCTGCACAATGGGTTGGAGTGCGATCCAAAGAGTCTGCTGCTCTGTGCACACAGCTTCTGACCCCGGAGGACATCAGCAGAAAGCGTCACAGAGAAAACAGCTGCTCTCACTCTGAGCTATATTCATTATCTTACTCAGATCAGGGTCAGAGGTTTGAAATGTGCTGGGTGGTCAGAAGATGGGATATAAATACATTTCATTACCGCACTGAAAGCGATGAAGCTATTTTGGGCTCCAACCCGAGCAGAATTAATGTCAAATCAATGTGGAGCTCTAAGAATGAACCAAATACTTCCACGACAGATGGTTGAAGTTCGTGGAGTTGTTTATTTATTATCGGCTACAAGGATATGATATAAATGTTATTAGTTTAATCTATCTTTGTTTTGTTTTCTGTGTCTTTAGTGTGTAGAGAGAAGGAACATATTGGATCAGTTACATTATAAAATCTAATGTTTATTATTAAGATGATAAGAATATTTTATTTTGTCAATAACACATTTATCTTCAGCACTGATACCTCCCTCCTAGATCTGGAACATGTAGGTAATAGACTAAAGTACTAACCCTAATAGACTAAAGTACTAACCCTAAAAGACTAAAGTACTAACCCTAACCCTAATAGACTAAAGTACTAACCCTAAAAGACTAAAGTACTAACCCTAACCCTAATAGACTAAAGTACTAACCCTAAAAGACTAAAGTACTAACCCTAATAGACTAAAGTACTAACCCTAACCCTAAAAGACTAAAGTACTAACCCTAATAGACTAAAGTACTAACCCTAATAGACTAAAGTACTAACCCTAACCCTAAAAGACTAAAGTACTAACCGTAATAGACTAAAGTACTAACCCTAACCCTAAAAGACTAAAGTACTAACCCTAATAGACTAAAGTACTAACCCTAATGGCGCATTTCCACTACAGCGCGGTTTAAGCGTGCCATGCACGGCGCGTTTTTGGTTGCATTTCCACTTGGCGTAGAACCGGCTAGCGGGTACTATTTTGCAGTTTTTCTGGCCCCAAATCGAGGTTCTTTCCGGGCCAACAATCAGGCTGAGTCGGGCTGAGTATGCTAAACTAGAGAGAGAGAGAATCGCTGGCAAGGGGGCTACAACTTCAACAAAATGAACATATTTGACCGTGATTAAATTGTAATACATGTTTCAAAATGATGCCGAAGTAACAACATACTGATACCGGTTAGTAAAAACCATGAATTAATGCTTTGACAAGTCTGCAGACAGACAGCAGGCGAACAACCTGTTAAAATGCGTGTTTTCTGAATGGAGATCGGCTAAGCTAACGTTGTATATGCTCCGACCGTCCACACTCACAACAACGGCCTACAGACATAAATAAAGCAGCGACTGTATTCGCCATGACACAGACAGTCTGTGGTTTGTACTTGTTTAACTTGTGTCTAGTTTCTGAACGGATATGAGGAGCTGTGAGCTCTGAGCGCTAACAGCTAACGGCTGATGTTGGTTTTCTGGGGCTCTCATTGAAGATGACGTCACGGCTCCGTCTACACTGCGTTACTATAGTTACTACCCCAGCTACTAAACTATAATGGAAATGCAGCATAAAGTGAGCCTGGCCTAACGAGGCCTAACTATACCGTACTAAGCCGAGCGAGGCCCTGCAGTGGAAATGCGCCATAATAGACTAAAGTACGAACACTAACCCTAAAAGACATGCATAAATTATTATTCGTCATGATTTTAACCTCAATTTTGTATCGTTTACTTCTTATTTTGAGGGTTCCTAAATCATAATAAACACCTTGATAATCACGTGGAAAAGTCCCCCTTGTGGGAATACATTATTTACTTATTTATTGTCATTCTATGAACTATTTATCGAGTCAAATCTGTGTGCTTTCTTCCTGTGTGTTCCTGCCTGTGAACATGACATAAGCTGCTCATCACATCTTCTCCATGATGGTATGTTTGTGTTTTTATCATGTTCTGTTGCTTTTACCTCTTACAATGTTTAACTAATTGTACTGTGTCCTTGGGTGTCATGAAAGGCGCTTTAAATAAAATGTATTATTATTATTTCAGATCCGTGAAGCTATTTCCGTAGACTCCTTTAAAAGCACGACTCTCTTCGCATCTGTCTTCCTTGTCGACTAATATCCATCGCCTAGTTCCCGTTCATCATTAGCATCCCTTCCGTCACATGCTTTTATCACATGGCAATACTTCTTGGGGCTATAATAAATGTTGATTTGATAATGATTATTATAACCAATTGCCCCTTGCTGGATGAATAAAGTTGATTCATTGATTGAAGAGATGTGTCACCTGCTGGGTCGAAAGGCAGCGTGTCGCCCAGGACCCCGAACACCCCCTCGCTCTGGTCTCGGTTGGGCCAGGTGTTGTTTCGGGGCCCCTGAGGCTTCTGGCCCAGCATCTCCGACATCACGCTGTCCATGTAGGTGCTGACCAGGCCCAGGCTGTACAGGTCTGAGCTGAGGTCAGGCAGAGCGGGGGACCCCCACTGCCCGATGGGACCTAGGGGGGAGAGGCCTCCTGGGGGGCCCTGCTGAGGGGGAGGGGGCTGCTGATTGGAGGAGCCGCCGAGCCACTTACTGGGAGCTCTCTGCTGGGGAGGGAGGACCTGGGGAGGGGTCTGCTGCTGAGGGGGGGGGAGGCTGCTGCTGCTGACTGATGGGCTGCAGGAGGTGCTGGTAGTACTGCATGGCCTGGGGGGAGGGCTGGGGAGGAGGGGGTTGTTGTTGTTGGGGAGGAGGAGGCTGCTGTTGTTGTTGTTGTTGTTGTTGCTGCTGCTGCTGCTGCTGCTTCTGTGGAAGTTGGGGTTGAGTGGGGGGCTGCAGGTTGCTATGGGAGACAGATTGAGATGTGGGTGGGGCTCCGCTGGGGGGCTTCAGCTCAGCGGGGTTAGCAGACGCCACAGAGTTCCTCCTCTTCACCAGGGGGGATGCCTGCTGGGACTTCCCCATGTTGAACCCTGACAGGAAGTCGATGACGTCCTGCATCTCCTGGTCGGTGGGCAGGTTCATGCCCTGGTCTTCGAGGCCGTTGGGCAGCTGCGAGGGGTCGGGGGGGCCGGGTAGGTTGCTCAGCTGTAGGATCCCCAGGCCCTTTGACTTGTCCTCAGAGCTGCTGCTCAGCATGCTGCGGGACGGGGTGCTGGGGATGGAGTAGCTGCCCCCGCTGTTGGAGCTGGACGAGACCTTCTTGGTGAACTTGGAGGTCAGCTTGGAGATCGATTTGGGTAAACCGCTGGAGGTCTTGGAGCAGGGGCCGGGGGGCAGGTCCACCTGGACGTTGAAGTCAGGGGTCTCACGCTGCAGCTGGAGCTGGATGGTGGGCAGCGACTGCTCTCTGATGGAGGGAGGAGAGAGAAGAGGTTAATAGGGTTTATTGATGAATTTATTAAATCAGAATTAGATAGACATATATGTTAACATGGCTGAATTAGATAGACATATATGTTAACATGGCTTTCCAATTCTATACACATGGCTTAAACGGATCAATTCATAGACTGCTTCCTTTTAGATTTTGAAATCACGCTAAAATAAAAATACTTTTTCAAGTTAAAAGATTTAAGGTTGTTTGGTCCCCCCCCAAGAAACCACACAATCTGGTTTATTTAACCAAAATCAGATTTACCAAATACTTTACACATCACTTGTACAGAAATGTGTATTTAATGGTTGTTTATTATAATTTAAAGTTCCACTCACTTCCTCTCCTTCCACCTGTTGATGTCGAACACCGCGGTGTACAGAACGTCCACCAGACCCAGAGTCTTCTCCGGATCCAAGCTCCGCTGCAGCAGAGACATCGTGGCCGGGTCCTCCTTCAGACACCTGAACACACACACACACAACATGATGAGACAGGAAATACAAATACAAACAATGTATTGCATACAAATGATATGAAGACTCCACATTTGACATTCATAAACAAGAAAGAGACAAACTGACGGGCTACAATTTCAGCTCACAACAGACTTTAGTGTATTCATCATGGCCGCCTGCCTCTCTACAGGTTGGAAAAACGTCTATACTTTTTTAAACTTCTCACATTTGTGTGACGACAAATTATGAGAATGAGGATTACCAAAGAAATGCTATCCCTTGTTTAACCTAATCTTTCGTCTACAAATGTGCACAGAATGAAATGACTTGCAAAAAAAATATGATGAAAAGGAGTCAAGGTTAAGAATAAAGTTTTGAAGCAACAAACTATTCGGTACGGTCCTAGTTTTGAACGTGAGATCCTCACAGTGCCGGCTCTCTTACCTCCCATCTCTGTTGATATGCATACGATTTAAAGTGGACCTATCATGCTATATTTGAAACATATATTATAGGGCCATATCTATGCAAAACATGTCTGAAGTTTTTTTTTTCAAAATACCAAACAGATCACCCGTTGTAGCCATGCCTCATACTGCTCTAACCCCTCTTTTGAAGCCCTGTTAGAGAAACACGGATCTTGGGTCCTTAGCTTGAAAAAAATTAAGTAGAGGAGGCGGAGCTAATGCCTGATCAGAATTCTACCGGAGATAAAGTTAAATTCTGCTGTGATAAAACACCATCCTGTTTAAACCACATCAAGGGTTATTTCTGAAACGGTATGGAGCTCAAATGCTTTTTCTCTTGCGGGTTTATCACAAGATGAGTTCCTTTTTTTATTTCCTGCTTTTTAAACACATGTGCTCTCCAGTACAGGTTAGCTCTGAGTGTTAGCGAGGCTTGCTAATGTAAACAAAGACGTCCAAAACACGTCAGGCATTGTTTCTGATAGCAACTTTCTGTGGGTCCGCCACCGCTATTACGTCACAGCGGATGGAATCTGTATCCGCTCGTTGTACATCCGTTTTTAAAAGATTTGGGTACGGAGGAAAAGAGAGAGGGTTTTATTTTCTGATGCTGCGTGAGTTCCGCGATGCACCGTGGACACATATGTAGGTATAAAATACATCACAAAGTGCATTTTGTGGGTCCCTTTTAAATATGTAAATTGTCTCTACACTTTGCTCTCTTAAACTCTGCTGTCTGTGAAAAACCACATGATCAAATATTGAATGCAACTGTACCTGGGAAACAATCTAAATGTGGTTCATGTGTCATATTTGTCAACAAAAACTGCACCCGTTTCGGTTTTGTAAGCATACCTGTCTGTACCGACTATCCAGGGAAAGGTCAGATAATTTAAATGACTGTCTGTATTTATGTATACTTTGCCAAGACTTGGAAGGAAAGGGGTAATGTATGTATGTATGTATGTATGTATGTATGTATGTATGTATGTGAGCAATAACGTGTAGATTTGAGTGGACTGTAAACTGAGGCGGGTGTGATTTTTATGCACATCTCCATGTATGTTATATATTTGTGGAATACATAAGTGATGTGATTAACTCACCATGTGGAGGGGACCTGGACGATCACCTTGGAGCCCTCCAGAGTGATCTGAGGAGCGTAGGCCTCCTTGTTCTCGATCTGCGCCGTATCAACCACCACCTGTTGAGACACATACACACACACGCATCAGCTCCTTATTCAGCATCAGTGTTGCCACAATACTGGAGTTTCTGACTTCAAAGCAACACCATGAAAGATATCGATATGCAACACAACGGGAAGATATTGCCCCAACATTGAGGGCAGAAAATGTAAGTTTTTTTTAATAAAAAGGTAAATACTACAAAGCTATAAATACTTCCACAATGACATTTCTTTTCCTGGCTGGTAGAGAACAACACTGTAGTAAACATTCATGGAAAGTGTGTGTGACTGTGTATCACTCCTGAAGAGCAGAGGGCACCATGTATGGTAGTGTGCGAATGAAGACTTGTGCAGTAAAGTGCTTTGAGTCGTCACAAACACTAGAGAAGCGCTTTATATTTGCAGCCTATTAAACAACTGTTTAACAATATTGTTCTGTAAGTATGACCAACAGTGTCTGTGATGCAAAACATGCAAGTAACAACTGAATGAATTTGTAATTGTATGTATGTTCAAGTAACAAATGAGGTTATTATTATACTCTTATAGGCCACATGTACACATGCTCTACAAAATAAACTATTATTGTAACCTTAAATGACTTTGCAAACCTCAGCAAAACTGTTGAAGAAAAAGCAGCAGGTACTGTTGTATTAATAATGTGGAAAATGATAAAATGAATAAGGTTTAAGACTTTTAGGGTAAATATTTATGAAGAAATGTGGGCTATAAACTGTTAATATAGTCCTGTGCTGCAATACATTCACAAAAGTTGAATGGAGTGCTGCTGTCTCTGTTGATCAATTTAAACACCTACAAATGGTGGGATACATTTCTTCCATTGTAATAAAAACCCAACGCAGTCTTAAAACAAAACGCACTGGTTTCACCCTCTATACTAGCTCACGATTTGTTTATTTTTTGAAAGTAGCTCTCATCCTAAAAGAGGTTGGAGACCCCTGCTCTATAGTATGTGAAACTAGCAAAGTTTACCAGTCAAGGCTACACGGAAAAACATGACCTGAAGTCAAAAGTGTTTCATTGCCGTCTGGCATTCATTTCCCACCAAGCGGAGGGAGGCGGTTCAAGGTGAGGAAACCAAGCGCTCTCAGTCAGCCAGGGACAACAAACACAAAGCCTTCTTGCCAGCTGCTACTCATTTGAGAAGTTCTTTGAAAGTGGCCTTGGCTCCTTGAGGTCCCTCAGCTGGGTCACAGAGAGGGAGGGAGGGAAAGTGGGAGGAGACTATTTCCTGTATTGCAGGAAGTGGCCCTATTGTTATTAAAAAAGCAGGTGTATCCTCGGAAACCCCGGGCAGAGAAAGCATTCGAGTAAACAGTCCGTCAGCCTTTAGAGAGACACGTTGACATCTGGGCTGGAGAGAGGAGGAAAAGAAACCAAACAGACGAGGTCAAGCAATTCTCAGAAAGCCGTGACTCGTAGGAAAGAGGGAGTTGCTGCTGGGGAAAAATGTTTCCAGCAGACAGCAAAACAGAATGTTGATTCTAACTGAGGAAAATAAAGAACATTTGGAGGAGAAACTGTGTGTGTGTGTGGAGGTAAGAGCAGTGTGTGATAATGTGTATTTATATGCAACAAAGCTGCGACAATTAGTTAATGTCTACAAAATTAAGTGTTGTTTTCTGCCTTTCAAACATGAAGGTTTTCTGCTAATATCATATTAAACTTAATATATTTGTTGATGTCTTTAAACGTCTTGCATCACTAGTCAAAACCCCAAACTAGGGTGGACATTTTTTTTTCTTTCTACTATGTTCTGACATTTTATAGTGTTTCTCAAAATGGGGTCCCAGTACTCCAAGAGGTAGAAGTACTTCCAAGTACTTCCAAGTACTGCAGAGGATACTTGTTTGGTTAACTGAACAAATATCAGTCATGCATTCTTCCTAAAAATAATATCACTATATTAGTTTCTTCAATCGCTAACCACCATAAAATGGCCGCTGCCGCATAAAAACACATCCATGTTTTTTTAAGTGAGAGCAGGAAAGCGGTCTTGATGTTAAATATAAGACAAAGAAAAACAATGGTTTTGTGGCTTAAACGTAGAAGCAATACAAGTTTAAGAAACACAGTTTGAGTTCAAATAACTTAATTGAGTTAAGGGCTTTGATTTGTGGCAAACACTAGAACATTAGTATGAGTATGAGACGTGCAGAGATATTCTACAGAAACAGAGAGAATGAGAGAGACCCCAAACCCCTAAATCTATTATCTGACATTTTGTAGATCTAACAATTAATCAAGAATTAAAATAATAGTTAGCTGCAGCCCTAATAGAGTAGTGCAGTGACGACGTGTTTGTGTAGGCCGACACGGAAGTAAGCTGCGCTCGGGTTCCCTCGACAAAAGAGCAACGGGATTTCTCCATAGGATTTTGGAAAATAGCTGGAAATAAGGTCTGTGGAAAACGAACCTGTTTGATAAATGCACGTTTTGTTCAGCCGGATAATCTCCACATGTCTACCCTACTTTAGATTTCTGATTCAAAAATTATAAATCGCCAGAAGCAAAATGCTAACGTTATGCTATAAACGTCACGCCAACTCAAGATCCAGATTCAAAATGGTAAAAGTTTAAGCGTTTGTTTTAGCAGTTAGCAGGAGCTTGCTTTCAAGCAGAACAGGGCAAACAAACTTAGAGCAGTGTTTACGTGTTCGGCGTAATGACGTAAAACGGCCTCGACAACTTCTGTAGTCCTGTTCAGCCACTTGGTAACAACCATCGTTTTTCAGACTCGTCAACTCTTCAGAAATCACCAGCGGGGTCACTGCTGATGGATTTAATGTCGTAGAACAAAACGTGATCCGTCTCTTACATGTGTCTCAACCACAGAGCTTATTTCCAGATATTTTCCAAAAACATGTTCAAAAACCCGTTGACTTTGAGACGAGGGAACCGGTAGTGGTACAATGCTAACTCACTTCCGGGTTTTAGGACTCGTTCCTGCACCACTCAATATGCAAGGGTTTAAGAGAAGACACTCCATGTGTGTTGTTGCACGATGCTGTGTGATCTATTCTGGGTCGAGTGTCCAGAGGACCAGATAAGAAGCAGCGAGCACTCGTCCATCAGGTTGTTTTGCAGCGAGCACTCGTCCATCAGGTTGTTTTACAGCTCGAGAACATCGGGAACACTCCCTCAGACCACACACAGGAAATAAACATCGGAGCATAAACACACTGGTGTTACTGTCCTGCCGCTGACCCCCCCCCCTCCCCGTTACTCTCCGTTTCAACAGGAGAGGAGGAGGGGGAGTTGTGTTTTTAAACCCGCGCAGGCGAGCCCCTCCTTCACCCAGATGCTGCAGGAATGTCTCTTCTCCTTTGTGTCTCTCTGGTGTTTGTTTACACCTCAAAGCAAGCAGACAGATCTCTTCATCTCCATTACAAATCTGACAAACAATGGCACGCAAGATGAAAAACCCACGGACACACAGGGAGGGGATTCAGAGACTGTAGCAGGAGTGTGAGTGAAGAACAACAGGCCTCTTCACGTCACACTGCCACCTTCTTTCTGGTATTGCTACACCGTGGTGATGGATGTTAACAAGAGGAAACCCTGAATGAGGGTCCACTTGATAACCTCCTACACAAATGTTTATCTAAGTATACCTTCAACAAACACAAACCTACTCTTAGTAAAGACAAGGAGACAGAAAAACTAGATTTGACTAGTGGTTGTGTTTAATGATGTCACCGTTATGCTCACTAAATGTAAAGGAATTTATGTTTGTACTGGTAGAGGAAGCTTCTGGATACAGAGAAAACAATGATTTGATATTAACAAGTTGCAATACATGTACAGGGTATCTGCAGGAATCCTGAAGTCAAATGTAAAACCTTTTAAGACCCTTTCCGTACATTTTAAGACCTCATCGCCACTTGGAGTTTTAACCGGTTACCTTGGCGACACACTTTACCTCACATTGACTATACACAGTATTGATTGTCCTTCCTCCTTATCTTCCAACCATTTGGACGCAGACTTGCATTTCCCCATAACGATGTTGTTTAACAACCGGCGTAAACGGACCTTCGCGCTATCAAGCAGTGAGCGTGCGATGTCCGGTTCAGATGACGTCAAACCCAACGGGATGCCATCAATAAACTACACAGAATCACACTACACACCTACGCAATGATTACATTCAGGCAGACTGTAGAACACAACCTCTTTGGACAATTTATATACTTATTGAAAACAAGCTACAAAATGTAATGCCTTGGAAAATGCCGTTTTAATACTTTTTGATAGCCTTCATTTTCGTTAAATTGATTTATCTACTTTTGAAGACCCCGCGGACACCCTGATTTAAATAAAACTAAATGTAGAACTTTTGTATATCCAAACATCCATTATCCAGTACAAATCATGATCAAAGATAATGTTGAAATGCACAAAAAGTTTAGAAGTACATTTTTGGGAATCATTTTAGACTTCAAACTAGCTAGAAAAAACACATGAATCATGTGATGACAAACATCCTCAATTTTAAATATCATCTATAGAGAGCCGCAGTGCCGCGTCCTAAAACCCGGAAGTAAACGCCTTCCGGTTCCTTCGACAAAAACGCAATGCAATTTCTCCATAGGATTTTGGAAAATAGCTGCAAATCAGATCTGTGGTTGAAACACATTTAAGAGACGGATCACGTTTTGTTCAGCCGGATAATCTCCATGTCTTCCTACTTTTATCATTTTCTAATCATAAATCTAATCGCCAGAAGCAAAATGCTAACGTTATGCTATAAACGAACTACAGCCGAGTACAGCAGCACCGGGAACGTCACGCCAACCTAAGATCCATATTCAAAACTCAGATTCAAAATGGTTCAAGTTGAAGTGTTTGAACAGTTAGCAGGAGGCAGGAACTTGCTTTCAAGCAGATCAGGGAAAACAAACTTAGAGTGTTTACGTGTTCGGCGTAATGACGTAAAACGGCCTGGACAACTTCTGTAGTCCTATTCAGCCACTTGGTAACAACCATCGTTTTTCAGACACGTCAACTCTTCAGAAATCACCAGCTGCTAATGTCGTAGAACAAAACGTGATCCGTCTCTTCAATGTGTCTCAACCACAGACCTTATTTCCAGATCACACACCGACTCACAGCCTCAGGGAGGAGAAATCGACGGAGCTGCAGCTGAGAAAAGATTGAGTGTGTGTGTGTGTGTGAGGAAGTCGTAACGTAACGGCTCCGCGGACGTAACATAACGGCTCCACGGATTGGTCCATTTGGGTATGGGCACGTCACTGTACCAGGAAGAAAAAGAGAAATCTCCAAGGAGGCGTTCTGGGGCAGCATAGACAGGTCTTTCTGTGTTAGAGTTGTACTCGCTACATGGTGCACTTTGAGGGTTTGTGACTGCAGACCGTTTACATGCAGAAAAACCTTCATAACACACAAGGGGACGGGGTGATAACCGAAGAAGCATGACATGGGACCTTTAATAGATTTGAATGGATTAGTAAAATAAATACAAGATGATTAGGACATTTAAAACTAAGGTATGAATGCTAGTTTATGTCTATATATATTTATTTTTGTGTGTTTAGTTTTTGTGAAAATAATTGAAGTAAAAAGTGTTAAAAATAAAATGAGGGGCTTCAGTCAGCATACGTTTGGTTTGGTACCATTTACAATAAATTATAATAAATGTTATTTATAGAGCTTTCCCTGGTGCTCAAAGCGCTTTGACTTATTGTTTATTTGTATGTGTATTTGAGTTGTAAAAGATAACAACCGAGTTAAACCAAACTTAACCTGCCCAAAATATGAACTGTAATTCAAAAGCATAAACACCCATTTGTATTCAGGTGTTGCTCAAGTTAAAATAAATATACTTCTACAAGAAAATAAACCACAAGGTAATACATTAACTCCCAGGTGTGTCCATCTCTGACAGATTTAAAGTAATAATAAATAATAAGCTTTTCTCTGGACACATGTGTCGGCCTGAACTCAGATATGAATGCTAGTTTTTCTCTTGCATATTTTTTCGTTTTTGAGAACTGTGGAAATAAAGTAAAATTAGGGTCTAGTCAGCATGCTTTGGTACCATTTCAAAATGTGTATTTATTATTTGTATATGTGTATTTGAGTTGTAAACGATTAAAACAACGGAGTTAAACCAAACCTGCCCAAAATGTCATTCAAAAGCATAAAGGTTTCTTTATATTCAGCTAGCATTACGGTGTTGCTCAAGTCAAAATAAATATGTTTCTACCGAGGCTTCTGTTGACTCATTACCTTGAACTCACATATTGCGGACTGAAAATAATTTCCTCATAGTTCAGCACACTGGAAAAAGTGTAACGACTGTCATTTAATCAAAGTACATTTTCTTAATTGGTCTAATTAAGAATCGTGGTTTCCGTTTAACATGATTTTTTCTGTTTGCCCAGAAGCAAAACACATCCCCCGTGAAATAACGTAAAAACAATATTTGAACCTAAATCGTTTTTTTCACTTCAAAGTAGGGCTGGGCGATTTGGCCTAAAAATAAAATCGCGATTTTTTTTCTAACTAATGGACAGTTTTCGATTTAAACCTCGATTTTTTTCTGTTTTTTTCTAAACAAACCAAGGCAACATTTAAATACATATTTCTTTATTAACACAATACAAATAAATGAGATTACCAAGTAGTCTAGGCCTATGTGAACAAATCAGTTGTTCAAGAATAAAAATAATAAAATAAAAACAGCACCACGGCACTTGGCTGTCAATAATGTGCACTGAAAAAAAAATCTCTTTTAGGCCATCCCTGAAAAAACTTGTAAAATGAAATACAACAAATAATAAATAATGATAATGAAATGAATATTAAAAAAATACCCTCAAACAAAATAACATCCCTTTAACTTTCTAGGAAGTTGTCTACAGGTTTTTCGCGAGGAAGACAAGCCTGTCTACTGCCTCTGGCTTGAGGCATGCTCTTTGGCATGTTACAATGTTACCCCCCGTACTGAAAACCCTCTCCGAAGGGTGGCAGGAATGGAGAGATATTTCTTGGCCAGATTACTCAGTCTTGGGAAGTTAGCTTCATGTAGCTTCCACCACTGCAGTGGGTCTGTATCAGGGTCTGTCTCAGACGACAACAAATAGGATGACAGCTCAGCTTCAATTTTGTCCTGCTCTGACTGGGAGGTAGACGACACTGTCAGTAGTGATGTGTGGGTCGCGAACGAGCGACGGGAGCCGGCTCTCGCCCGCGAACGAGCCGTGTTTTTTTTGTTTTTGCAGAGGGATCTAGATCGGCTTGAAGGCACATTATGCAATGTGCACATCATCCCGCTTATTACACATGGCCACATTCTCAACAAAGTAACGACATGACTCCTAATATTAATTGAAATGCTTTTATGGATTTAGAAAATGATTTTATTGACTTAAAAAATAGTTTTATGTATTGATTTAAATTGACATGCATCCGCTAAGAAAAGTAGTCCGTTGTTACTGTTTGAACTAACGTAGCAACGGCAGGAACTGCTTCGATAGAGTTTTTGAGGAGCTTCTTGATTACAGATTTGAAAACATCGTTGCTTGCTTTAAAAGTAGCACAATTCATTATGTCAGACTTGGGAAGTATCTAGATATCCCTGCCCTAATGCCAAAGTAACTGCCAACTGAATATGTGTCGCCGTCTGATGTCTATGTCTGGACCGCTGCGTAACAAGGAGGGTTTCTGCCCCGTTACTTCTCTTCTTACTTCTATAAGAATAAAACACGGAGGACGGAGATCTCTTTTTCTCCCCCTCTACAGACCACCCAGCAGCTGATCTCAGAGCACGCTCCCCTCTCCTGCAGGGGGGCGTGGTCAGCTGCAGCTCACAGAATCAGCCCCCTGCAAAAACAGCGCTGGAAAAAGCAAATGGAGCGAAATGAGGCATGGCTAAAATGCAGGATCTTTTTGGTATTTTGAAGAGAAAAAAAAAATATTTATAAACTTTATATAGGTCGATACAGTAGCCCCTTTTTAAAAATAGTTTGTATAGGTGTTGCTATCTGTTTTGTGTAGCGTGGTTCTACAAGCAAGTCAATGCATTCATTGGGTGGTGTCAGAGATTTACACGGGTCTGTAAATGCAATGAAAACAATTGGCCACAGCAAATCATTTATATTAAACTTTATTTACTCTTGAATACTTCAGTACAAAGGATGTATTGAATAATTTAAGTGATATATGTGTACACAGAGCTGCAGATCGGGTAGTCACAGGCAATGTGTCTGAGTTTTGTGCGCGTTCTGGAAAGTGAGAGAGTAAGCTACTACGGAGTCCCTTAAAGCAAAACAAATCTGCGGAGTCTGGAAATGTTTTTAAATCGCGATTTTTCGGTTCAGCCATTTCACAAACCGTAGGAAAGTAAAAATGCAAATTAATCGTTAAAACCGAAAAAGATCGCCCAGCCCTACTTCAAAGCATGTCACATGACCACGTGACGTACAAAGCATTTTCGAATCATAAATCTAATCGATAGATTCCTCATAGTGGCGTATGATTGATTGATATTCCAGCATGTGTGTGTAAATGCGTGTGGCTGCGAGGGAGTGCGGTCCCAGCCCGTGCAGCCAACATGTCGATGTATCCTTGGGCAAGATACTTGACCCTGAGTTGCTCCCGATGGCCAACGGTGTGTGAGTGTGTGTGAATGTTAGGTCCTAGAGCAAGGTACACTGCTCTGTATGAATGGGTGAACGACATGTAGCATGTAAAGCGCTTTGAGGGGTCGTAAAGACTGGATAAAGCGCTATATAAGTACAGTCCATTTACCATTTATACATATTGTATTCATCCTTTGTGGTCTATCTATATTATTGTGATTATGTAAATGAGGATTATTATTACTATTCAATTGTTGTCAAATTGTGGATGTGCTGTGTGGCTGTCTGTGTGTGGGGGGGGGGGGTGCATTGTTCTGTATGTTGTGTTGAATGTGTGAAACTCAATAAAGAGTATTTATAAAATACATATATATATATATTTCTACAAGAACCGAAATCACATTGAATCCCAGGTCTGCCGATCTCTGACAGATTTCCAGTAATAATCACAGATGCATCTTCTCTCTGGATCATGTCTTGTACTCACCAGCCCGGCCTGGGCGAACATCAGCTGCACGGCCGTCTTACAGGCTCCTCTCCAGCTGGAGGGGCACACCTGGTTCAGGACCTCCGTGACGGGGGAGTCGTCCCGGGGCGTCACTCCGTTCTGACCCAGCGCCTCTTTGATGAGCTGCAGCATGGTGTGCTGAGGAGACAAAACACAGGACGCCATCAACCAAAGATTCAAAGGTTTTATTGTCATATGCACAAAGCTACAGTGTAGGGCTGTGCAATTAATCGTATTTTAATCTCGATTTTGGCTTGATTGCTGCACATATTTTATTCTATCACATTGTAAATACTGCTTTATCTTATTTTACTACACTTTTAATGTTATTATAGTTTTCTGATAATAGCTCTATCTGTGTTTTTGTATTCTTGCTTTACTTTTATGTATGCACCACGACATCGAGTCAAATTCCTCGTACGTGTCAACCTACCTGGAGATAAACCCGTTTCTGACGTTACACTAAAGATGGAACCACCATTTTTTCAATTTCTGTTCTTCTTGACTATTTCTTATTGTTTATGTCATATATATATATATTGATGTGGCATTGTTGAAGGAGCCTGGGATTTAAGATTGTCATTGCCATAACTACACTGTAGCTACTGTGCATATGACAATAAAACATATTAATTAGTTTACGCCAGGAGAGGGCGCACTGAACTCAGTGCCACGTGGGATTGACGACAGCCACGCCCTTTAGGGGACGAGCTCATAAAACTATTAATTTATGACTGATTATGACCCACCCATGGTCACGGAGAAATCTTTCTCACAAGTCACACATTTTCAGAACATTATGACCATAAAAAATTACTTTTTCTTCCAATAACTGCCTTTGTCTCAGTAACACTCTAGCAACACCGATATCTTCTCTCTCTGTTGGTGATGCTAACAGTCTAGCTTTAATGTTAGCAAAACTGTTTCCAAGTGTTAAGCTAACATTTACAAATGTCCTAGTTAAGTAATGCTCAAAGTGGCTGTGTAAATATCTAAAGTGAGCAAAAGGAAACACATTCATTCAATTCATAAAAACACAGCATGCCATGAAGTGTTTACCATTTGGTAGCACTGGCAATCACATCTTTGCTGAGAAATGTATTCTACTATTAAGCAAGAAAATGTTTGACTATGACAAAAAAAACGGTGTATTGAATTAAACATGTTTAAGGCGAGACACTACAGGTGACTAGAGTAATTTGATTAACTTAAATATATCAGCAAGACATGTCTCCAGTTAATTACTTTCATTAAGACGATTGTCTATATCAAATATGCAAATGATCCATTATCTAATTAAATATGCGCATATCTTTTGACATTTCAGGAACACAAATCTGAACATTGGATAAAGTCAGGTTCAAAATGCTTGCTTCCTTTTGTAGTCATATTAGAATCTAAAGTTTCTACAGAAGGGATTTTGGATATCTCTTTTTATCACTCCATAAATTAGAAAATACTGTCAACAGCCGTAAAATATAAATTATATAAATACCTAGACGGTAGAATTAGTATGAAGTTTTAAGTGGAGTGGGGTCCGTACCGTTTTCAGTTTGAGGTTTTCAGCCGCGGACTCGTTGAAGGACACTCCTTTGAGGAAGTGAGAGCCGATCTGCACGGGGATGGTGGGCAGCTCGCACTGGATTGGCTGAGAGGTGGTCTGCATCCGGCCCGCCTGCTGAGCCTCCGCCTCACTGCAGCAGCTCTGCACACACACAGCATGTAAACACACACACACCAGTGCAAAACACACACAAAAAAACATTGACACAAGGAGGCACTAAAGAATAATTGTTTAACATTGAAATGAAGAAAAAAGTGGAAAAGGAAAAACTGAATTAGATGATGAATAGGTCAACATTTCAAGAATGAATAAATCGTACATTGCACACTATTACATCATTGTCAATTATCCTGCCGTGGTAATCATTCTATCAATCTTTAAGGCGCTGGACAGGTCAAAACCGGTCATTTTGAGTTTGAGCTGCTTTGCTTACATTTCAGAGGAGAGAAAACATTTAAAATTCACATTGAGGTGTTTATTTTCTAACTTACTAATTGGGACTATAGATGTCTGCTAAATTCTCCAAAGGTTAGCATCCGATAACACATTATTAGCATATTTAAACAGTTCAGAAAACAAAAACAATTGTCTTAATGAACTGGTTATATATACACGTAACGTCCTAACCCTATTCACCTGCAATATATTGCCTTGGAAGAGCACTCACCTGTAAGGCCGCCTCCACAGCTTTGGGGTTCAGATGGAAGCCGGCCTTCAGAGCGTACTCGCTGTGACCCAGACTCTCTAGAGCTGCTTTATAGGCCTGGAGAGGAAAACATCATTTCATTAAAGACACCGTCTACGTCCACCCTCTTTACTAAATCTAAATGCATTTACTTTTGAGGAAATATAAATAAAAAGTTGTTTTACAAGGTCTCCTATCAAGCAAAATGCACTTTTTGATGTCTTTTATACATGTGTCCCTGGTGTGTCGGGGAACTCACAAAGTGTCAGAAAATAAAACCCTCTCTCTTTTCCTCCGTACCCACATCTCTAAAAACGGGGGAACAACGGAGCTGATCCAGATTTGCGCACCGACATTGAGAGAGAGAAAAGAGAGATGAGAGATAGAGAGAAAAGAGAGAGATATTTGCGAGTTGCATAAGAACTGGAGAGATAGCAGGGTTTCCCACACAGACTTTTTTGGGCGGGTCGCCCAGGTATATTAACGGCCGCCAAAGTATAATTCGCGAGCCATTTAGGTTTCATTTTTTTAATCTGCCTGCGAGCACGACGGCATCTGATCCCTCGCTCTACCCCTCGCTGTCGCGTGAAGGGTCTGCTTTATGCGCTCCGCACAGTAATAACCCTGCTGCGTGCTCACTAGCGCACCTCCCCCCCCCCCCCCCTTCATAAAGTCAAGTACCCCTCAAAAGGTCCGGTTTATTTCATTTTAAGGATGCGCACCAAGCAACATCTCCAGGTGCTCCTTTGAGAACCAGGGCAAACAACTTATGTGCACCCCTGAATATATGCCTAAAAATAGAACAATAGGAGACCTTTAAGTGGATGTCCGTCTTAACTCAAGATGTCACAGCTAAACGTGGTGTTTTGTATCACACTGCACCTGCAAAGCGCTGTCGATCTTCATGTTGAGCTCCTTCAGCTGGTGCTCGGGGATGTTGGTGTTGTTGGAGCAGAAGAGATGCTGCACCTGGAGGCCGGCCAGGCAGCCGTCACGCCCCCTCTCTCTCAGCCGGGACATGGCCTGAGGAACGCAGAGCCCCAGGTTATTATCATGTATTCATTTCAACAAGGACCGTGCATTAGGGGTGGGGGAAATAATCGATACAGCAGACGGACGCCAAGTATCGATATGTTATTATATAAACTGTGGCATATCCCTCCGAAAGATGGTCGTACATTTGACATGTAGCATATCGTAGAATCGCAATTATATCGTATCGTGGCTTAAGTATCGTGATAGTATCGTATCACATTATAGCATGCCATGAAGTGTTGGTAGCACTGGCAATCACATCTTTACTGAGAAATGTATTATACTACTAAGACGAGACACTACAGGTGAATAGGGTAATTGTTTTAACTTAAAGATATCAGCAAGACATGTCTCCAGTTAATTACTTACAATAAGACAATTGTTTTTTGTATAACGAGTTTTCTGAAATAGCATGTTTAAATATGCAAATGAGCCATAATCTCATTAAATATGAGCATATTTTTGGTCGTACATTTGACATGTAGCATATCGTAGAATCGCAATACTATCGTATCGTGGCTTAAGTATCGTGATAGTATCGTGGGGAGCCCGGTGATTCCCACCCCTACCATGCGTACAAATACATTAATCTCAGAAAAGAGAAGAGATGCCTGATTTAAGCTAATAGCTCATTTCCATCTGCAGTCCTTAGGTACACAACAACCAACAAACACTACAAACATTGCATCATCTCTATCACACAAACAATTATAAAACATGATTTAGGTACAGGTCAATGAAATAATACATAGTACAGTTCAAATTGAAATGTAATTAATGTTGGCATGACAGGTTGCTTGAGAATGAGTTAAAGTCAGCACAGCTTAGAGATACTGTGGGAATATCTACACTAATACAGAAAGGCAAGAAATAAGTGCAACTAACGGCCCGTCCACACGGCGGCGTGCGTTGAAGCTTGCCGGCGGGCGTGTCTGAAACTCGACCAACAACCAATCACATGAATCTCCCGCCCCTGACACACAAGCAGCGGTTTGATTGGCTAGAGCTTGTACTGGCATATGATTCGATTGGCTGACGCTTCTGCCGAGGCTTCAAAAGTTGAACATTGCTCAACTTTTGCAGCGAGCCACACCGTCAAAGCTCTGCGTCGCTTCCCACAATGCAGTTCGGCGAAAAGTGACGTCACCCCATTCAAAGTGAATGGTGAAGCGTCAACGCACGCCGCTGTGTGGACGGGCCGTAATAGTTATTTTCCTTAATGATTAGTTTGCAAAATATTTACTGGATTTATAGATTTTTCTAGATTATTCAAATACATCTATTAAATACAGAAAAATGACCCTCCAAGTTTCTCTTGGTCCAAGGTCTTTCAATGGGTGTTTCTCAATCTCGAGTAAAGCTGCTCCAGAGCCACTATTTCAAGGATGCTACGTCATCGAGTGCCGCCGAAGGACTGTTCCAATGTCCAGCATACTTGGAATTCTACCGAGCCCGGCGTACTTCGTTGCGGGAAATTTCAAGGCTGCACATGTGTAGACTCCGCGGTCTTAAAATCCCCACAATGCTTTGCGCACGGACCAATTTCCCCAATCTTTGGCAGAAATCGTGCTCCATTTAAGGCGGGGCCTCGCATATGACGCACACCTGTTCCACCATTCTTCGTTTTCCGAGGCTAGGAAGGATTCTTGCCTCGCTTATGTCTTCATAACCCTAACCCAACCCTAACCAACATTGAGAAACACCCAATGTCTTGTTTTGTCAGACCAAAACCTACAGATATTCAGTTTAATATGATAAACTGAGAAAAGCTCAAACGTAACCGTCATTATTTGGGAGGCTGGAAAACGCATTTTCTGCAATATCTGCCCAAAAAGATCAGGATTAATCAAACAAACGTTATTTCTGTCGATCGACTTCTCATTGCAGCTCTACAAGAAACATTTGAGAATGATTAGATTGTACTTTAAAATTAGGTCACCATCATTTTGAATAAGTGTTTGTCTGGGTGTCGATCAAATAGAGAGGCGAAGTCCCTCCCTTTCCGGGGAGCTCCATGGGACCTTATTTCGGAAAAAGTATGTATTGAAGTCGATGGAGAGAGAAAGATTATCTTTCGATCCCGTTTGAATTGTGCCACGAATTACACACATGATGTTTGTCAATTTAAAAGATAATTTTGCAAGTAAAAAAAAAAAAAATGTGTCGTAAAACTGTGAAGTAACACTTTTTTTTGTGTGAAACCGCTCAATGAACTACATCTCCCGTCTCGCACCACACACCAAGACGGCCGTCACGTTGCACATTTCACTTCTTTCTTTCAGAATGAGGCGGAAAGTATTAAAAGAGGTGAAAATCACTGCAAGTCTGGGCGCGTTGAGAGCTGTGCATACACACAAGGGGAGTTAGTCGGTTCCTAAGAGCCAGCATGCGGGACCGGGACTCTGGGATTTGTAGTCTTTCTAGTTGCGTATTTTTTAGTGGTGCACGATAATTATCGGTCCGATATTAGGAATTATGACGTCATCCCGATAAACCCGATACCAGTATTAATAGCCCCGATAATATACAATATATTTTTTGGGTAAAAAAAAGAAAACAATACTGCGGTGTGGGTGGATTGGGATGAGGGGCGCTTGTTTTTCACTCGGCTCCTCCCGTTTTGCCAGTACTGTGGTATTAGTGGTTTAGGAAGAGGGGAGTTTTTCACAAATCCAGCGCTCCCTAACTCATGCCTGGCTGTGACGTAAATGGTGTGCGGCCGTGAAGCCAGGACAGTAAACAAACATGTCGCCGGTAGTATGGGACTATTTCAAAGTTTCAGAGTTAGATAGTTCGCTTGCTATTTGTATTAACAAATGCAGAAGTTCCACGAGGAGGGAAAAAGGCAACGAGCTATAATACTTCCAACCTGATTAGTCACCTGAAACATCGCCATCGCTACGATGGTGTGTTAAAAGCGTACGAAGACGCCTGCGCTGCTAAACTAGCGGCGAATCCAAAGCCAGCTGCAAAGGCACCGGGGCTTTTACCTATCGACGAGGCTTTTGAAAAAGGCAAGAACTTTATTTGGGAAAATAAATATGGTCACTTTGAAGAGTCAAAACGGTTCTTTGTTTTGTTCATAGTAGTAATGCTCATGTCATTTGCTCACTACTAGTCTTTTTTTTACCACCAGGTGTGCAAAAACTACAGGTACATTTAATATATATATTATATTATTATCGGGTATCGGTCTTGAGAAGCAGGAAGTTATCGGTATCGGTTTCAAAAAACCAATATCGTGCATCCCTAGTATTTTTCATAGTCTTATATTTCAACAGTTTTACGACAAACTGTGACTTTTTTGACATGGAAATTATTTTTTAAGATTGACAAACATCATATGTGTAATTCGTGGCACAATTCAAACGGGATCGAGAGATACTCTTTCTCTCTCCATTGACTTCAATACAATTTTTCCTAAATAAGGTCCCTTGGGTCGGAAGTAGATGGGCGGGACTTCGCCTCTATGTAAATAAAGCTTGTTTTAAGGTTTTACAGCGACGTTTTCTTTGAATATCGCCAAATCTTGCAAAGTAGAAGGATTTGTTTTGATACATGTTGAGCACTGGTACATTCAAAAGTTTTGGTGATAAAAAGCATGCGTGCAGCTTCTGAAAAAAAGAGTCCCGGCCGCCTCCCTTTCGCCTAAACGCCCGCCCAGCACATTCTGCCAGAGTCTCTCCAGGCCTTTCCCCCTGCAGGGCTTAAACTCTGCATGCCAGGGCTTAACAGATCAATCATCCCACTATTCTCCTCTCTGCCTCACTCTATACAACACAGCTCAAAATGGGCCAGAGGGACTGATTAGCCTGGGGGATTAGTCAGGTCCTGTTTCAAAACTGCATCCCTGGATGACCCCTCCCCCCCTCTTTCTGTTTTATTTTATTATTTGTATGTATTTATCTTTTCATATGTCTATTTTATTATTATTATTTATCTCTTTTTCTATTTCTTATGATGCCTATGTAGATACAGCTAAATGAAAATGGAAAAACTGTGAACATGTAAGTATAATGAAACTGAATCTGAAATAAGTTGAAAGATAAAAGGGGTGCAGAGGGGGGATAACTTTGCAGGTTCACAGACAAACTACAGCCCAAAAAATAAATAAAAGCGGAAATAGGAAATTGAGGCTGGAATGGATGAACGTCTGACTCAAGAATGTTACCTCACACAGACAAACCCCATATCTGCAATAATAATAATAACTGAAATGTATATAGCGCCTTCAGGGGACACGTGTTGAACACCTGAACTTTTGAAAGAACATACATCCGTTTGCAACTCACATATATATCAATATTCCAATTACTGTATATAGACTATTCTGCATTTTCCATCATATTCCGTTTCTATTATATCCTATTTTGCACTATTTTATTGTGTTGCACTGTTGGAGGAGCTACACTGTAGCTATGCACACATGACAATAAAAGCCTTGAAACTTGAAGATAAAAACAAGTAAAGCTTTTACGAAAACACTCAACTGTACGATCTACCTTTACACAGGCGGTTATTTCACTGCACAGAGAGTTAGTGTGTACCAGGAAGAGTCCTAGGTCTCGCTGTGGCTGCATACCTGAGCTGCACCTTTCCACAGCCGAGAGGCCTCCTCCAGCTCCGTGAGGGGGCCCAGGTCGGAGCTCTGGGAGCGGGCGTTGGCGCTGCGCTCCTGGGCCTGAGCGAGGGCTTCGGCCAGGCAGGACTGAGCCACGGGCTGCACCTTCTGGAGGGCCTGCGACAGAAACTGGAAATGGACCTGCATCACAGTGAGGAAGCACCGACCCAGCACCTGCAGACAGGAGAGAGATATTACAGCAGACCGTACGTCATACAGAGCAACATCTATGCACAGATGGTAACAGTACACACATCCTTTATTCAAGTAGAAGTACAGATACTCGTGTTTAAAAGTCTAAACTTCTTTACTCAAGTCAAAGTAAAGAGGCTTTGAAATGTACTTCAGTAAAAAGTACCCATAACTCCCAGCTGTTTTAAAGAGTACCTGACCTCCCTTTATATTAATAGAACAATAATGTCATTGTTAGCTAATGAATGTTTCCATGCTGAACAACGGCAACATGACAACGTTTCCATTGGTCCCTCTTCTTTAGAGAAGACCAGGAAATGATGGATACACGGATCGTGTTCAAATCAATAGGCACGCAATGACTCTAAAGAATAATGATCACGCATCAAACACACATTCAGACTAAAGGAACCAGCTGTTTGGAAAATGACAGAAGTAGAAAGTACAGGTATTTGGGTTCAACATGTAAGAAGTAGAAAGTACAGGTATTTGTGTTCAACATGTAAGAAGTAGAAAGTACAGGTATTTGTGTTCAACATGCAAGAAGTAGAAAGTACAGGTATTTGTGTTCAACATGTGAGAAGTAGAAAGTACAGGTATTTGTGTTCAACATGTAAGAAGTAGAAAGTACAGGTATTTGTGTTCAACATGTAAGAAGTAGAAAGTACATGTATTTGAGTTCAACATGTAAGAAGTAGAAAGTACAGGTATTTGAGTTCAACATGTAAGAAGTAGAAAGTACAGGTATTTGTGTTCAACATGTAAGAAGTAGAAAGTACAGGTATTTGTGTTCAACATGTAAGAAGTAGAAAGTACAGGTATTTGAGTTCAACATGTAAGAAGTAGAAAGTACAGGTATTTGAGTTCAACATGTAAGAAGTAGAAAGTACAGGTATTTGTGTTCAACATGTAAGAAGTAGAAAGTACAGGTATTTGAGTTCAACATGTAAGAAGTAGAAAGTACAGGTATTTGTGTTCAACATGTAAGAAGTAGAAAGTACAGGTATTTGTGTTCAACATGTAAGAAGTAGAAAGTACAGGTATTTGAGTTCAACATGTAAGAAGTAGAAAGTACAGGTATTTGAGTTCAACATGTAAGAAGTAGAAAGTACAGGTATTTGAGTTCAACATGTAAGAAGTAGAAAGTACAGGTATTTGTGTTCAACATGTAAGAAGTAGAAAGTACAGGTATTTGAGTTCAACATGTAAGAAGTAGAAAGTACAGGTATTTGTGTTCAACATGTAAGAAGTAGAAAGTACAGGTATTTGTGTTCAACATGTAAGAAGTAGAAAGTACAGGTATTTGTGTTCAACATGTAAGAAGTAGAAAGTACAGGTATTTGTGTTCAACATGTAAGAAGTAGAAAGTACAGGTATTTGTGTTCAACATGAAAGAAGTAGAAAGTACAGGTATTTGTGTTCAACATGTAAGAAGTAGAAAGTACAGGTATTTGTGTTCAACATGTAAGAAGTAGAAAGTACAGGTATTTGAGTTCAACATGTAAGAAGTAGAAAGTACAGGTATTTGAGTTCAACATGTAAGAAGTAGAAAGTACAGGTATTTGAGTTCAACATGTAAGAAGTAGAAAGTACAGGTATTTGTGTTCAACATGTAAGAAGTAGAAAGTACAGGTATTTGTGTTCAACATGAAAGAAGTAGAAAGTACATGTATTTGAGTTCAACATGTAAGAAGTAGAAAGTACAGGTATTTGAGTTCAACATGTAAGAAGTAGAAAGTACAGGTATTTGTGTTCAACATGAAAGAAGTAGAAAGTACATGTATTTGAGTTCAACATGTAAGAAGTAGAAAGTTCAGGTATTTGAGTTCAACATGTAAGAAGTAGAAAGTACAGGTATTTGTGTTCAACATGTAAGAAGTAGAAAGTACAGGTATTTGTGTTCAACATGTAAGAAGTAGAAAGTACAGGTATTTGGGTTCAACATGTAAGAAGTAGAAAGTACAGGTATTTGTGTTCAACATGTAAGAAGTAGAAAGTACAGGTATTTGTGTTCAACATGTGAGAAGTAGAAAGTACAGGTATTTGTGTTCAACATGTGAGAAGTAGAAAGTACAGGTATTTGTGTTCAACATGTAAGAAGTAGAAAGTACAGGTATTTGGGTTCAACATGTGAGAAGTAGAAAGTACAGGTATTTGTGTTCAACATGTAAGAAGTAGAAAGTACAGGTATTTGTGTTCAACATGTAAGAAGTAGAAAGTACAGGTATTTGTGTTCAACATGTAAGAAGTAGAAAGTACAGGTATTTGTGCTCAACATGTGAGAAGTAGAAAGTACATGTATTTGTGTTCAACATGTAAGAAGTAGAAAGTACAGGTATTTGTGTTCAAAATGTAAGAAGTAGAAAGTACAGGTATTTGGGTTCAACATGTAAGAAGTAGAAAGTACAGGTATTTGTGTTCAACATGTAAGAAGTAGAAAGTACAGGTATTTGGGTTCAACATGTAAGAAGTAGAAAGTACAGGTATTTGTGTTCAACATGTAAGAAGTAGAAAGTACAGGTATTTGGGTTCAACATGTAAGAAGTAGAAAGTACAGGTATTTGGGTTCAACATGTAAGAAGTAGAAAGTACAGGTATTTGAGTTCAACATGTAAGAAGTAGAAAGTACAGGTATTTGTGCTCAACATGTGAGAAGTAGAAAGTACAGGTATTTGTGTTCAACATGTAAGAAGTAGAAAGTACAGGTATTTGAGTTCAACATGTAAGAAGTAGAAAGTACAGGTATTTGAGTTCAACATGTAAGAAGTAGAAAGTACAGGTATTTGTGTTCAACATGTAAGAAGTAGAAAGTACAGGTATTTGAGTTCAACATGTAAGAAGTAGAAAGTACAGGTATTTGTGTTCAACATGTAAGAAGTAGAAAGTACAGGTATTTGTGTTCAACATGTAAGAAGTAGAAAGTACAGGTATTTGGGTTCAACATGTAAGAAGTAGAAAGTACAGGTATTTGGGTTCAACATGTAAGAAGTAGAAAGTACAGGTATTTGAGTTCAACATGTAAGAAGTAGAAAGTACAGGTATTTGTGTTCAACATGTAAGAAGTAGAAAGTACAGGTATTTGTGTTCAACATGTGAGAAGTAGAAAGTACAGGTATTTGTGTTCAACATGTAAAAAGTAGAAAGTACAGGTATTTGAGTTCAACATGTAAGAAGTAGAAAGTACAGGTATTTGGGTTCAATATATAAGAAGTAGAAAGTACAGGTATTTGTGTTCAACATGTGAGAAGTAGAAAGTACAGGTATTTGTGTTCAACATGTAAGAAGTAGAAAGTACAGGTATTTGTGTTCAACATGTAAAAAGTAGAAAGTACAGGTATTTGAGTTCAACATGTAAGAAGTAGAAAGTACAGGTATTTGAGTTCAACATGTAAGAAGTAGAAAGTACAGGTATTTGTGTTCAACATGTAAGAAGTAGAAAGTACAGGTATTTGTGTTCAACATGTAAGAAGTAGAAAGTACAGGTATTTGTGTTCAACATGTAAGAAGTAGAAAGTACAGGTATTTGGGTTCAACATGTAAGAAGTAGAAAGTACAGGTATTTGGGTTCAACATGTAAGAAGTAGAAAGTACAGGTATTTGTGTTCAACATGTAAGAAGTAGAAAGTACAGGTATTTGTGTTCAACATGTAAAAAGTAGAAAGTACAGGTATTTGAGTTCAACATGTAAGAAGTAGAAAGTACAGGTATTTGTGTTCAACATGTAAGAAGTAGAAAGTACAGGTATTTGAGTTCAACATGTAAGAAGTAGAAAGTACAGGTATTTGGGTTCAACATGTAAGAAGTAGAAAGTACAGGTATTTGTGTTCAACATGTAAGAAGTAGAAAGTACAGGTATTTGAGTTCAACATGTAAGAAGTAGAAAGTACAGGTATTTGAGTTCAACATGTAAGAAGTAGAAAGTACAGGTATTTGAGTTCAACATGTAAGAAGAAGAAAGTACAGGTATTTGGGTTCAACATGTAAAAAGTAGAAAGTACAGGTATTTGGGTTCAACATGTAAAAAGTAGAAAGTCACCAGAAAAATAAGTAGTGGAATAAAGTACTGATGCCAGAAAAATGTGCTTAAGTACAGTAACAAAGTATTTGTACTCCAATACTTCCCTCCTCTGCATCTATAACATGCTGAGGATGCTTGAGATGCTAAACTATATGAATGTCTGCGGGCTAAGACACTAACATGTAAGTCCACATACTTCAGTGGTTAGTTAACACTGGAGAAACTAGTGCTAATTTACAAAATACTGTTTTACTTATACCTCAAAATATCTAGTGGGTCTGATACATTTTTTATATTCTCAGGCCACCAAAAGATCTCGCAACAAAGAATCTACATAAAAACAAATAAAAAAATGTATGAACTAACTTGAGCTAGTTGTTTCTTAGTTGTTCACACCTTACGAATAGAGACCATGAAGTTTGACAGGAAAAGTGCAGCTGTTAGAAGATACCTTTTCATTTACATGTACACAATGAGGAGGATATTAGTCTTGGAATGAGTGCGATATATTCATACTTTTTACAACACAGTGCATCTCCATAAAACATTCTCACACGCTGTAAATAAAGGTTGACTCAGCGATCACATTTCCCACCAGATCACACACGAGTTATATCAGCAGTTTGTCCTCGGCAGCTCCTTTTAATGATAATATAAATAACAGAAGCATTTGTCCACCTCGTTTCCTATGCAAGCACAATCAAAGGAAATCGTAGAGCCAAGGCCGTGTCACGGAGCAGAAACCAGAGAACTTTTTTTTTTAAAAACCTCTTGCCACAGCACATTACAGCCAACTGAACATGCTTTTGCATTTGTGGCGAATCGTGTGCTGTAAACAACAGATATCAAACATTTGAGGAACAGTACAATCTGTGTTTATACTTGCAAGCAAAAGACAGATGGAAAACATATTAGATTAAATATGAACGTCAGTGTGTTTCTGTGAGAGGAAAGCTTTGTTTGT